CCTGCCGGCACAATGGGCTGAAGCGCTGCTTTCCCGGACCAGAGTGGACGTTGCTTCCGTAAGCGCCTGCAGGCGCCGGCCGTGTGTGAGGAGCCCGAGCGGACGGCCCCAGCGGGAGCCTGGGAGCGTGCACCTGGCGGCTGCTTGAAACGGTGCTGCCCGCCGGGTGCCCTTCACACTGGGCGCCATGAGCGAGCCCTACTGTGTGCAGAGGTCACAGGCCCCGGGCGTACACCTGCTGTGTGCCCGCTGGCGCTGCGCGTCTGAGGAGAAACGAGCTGTCTGACCCCCAAGCGCTCCTATGCCCCCGAGGGAGAGGGCAGGTGAAAACGGCTCCAAGAGACCCTGAAGGAGTGTGGAGCGCGCCGCGTCTGTGGGCGCGGGCCGAGCGCGAAACGGCAGCTTCTCGTGTACGCTTAATGACCAATGGCGTAACCGTCTCAGAGGGGGCTCAAAGTTGCCCCCCTCCAGTCACTGTGACATCACCCTGTTTTGTCACCCCAGCGCTTGGCATCGACAATGAATGTGCAGTTCGTGTTTCTCCCTCCCCCCAGAAAACTAGCTCCCGAGGGCCGGTTTGCTTTGCTGACGGGAACCCTGTATCTGCATCTGCATAGGGCACGCAGGAGCCCAAGGAATATTTGCTGAATGAACTCGGTAAGGCTGCTCTTCCTCTCAGCAGAGGAATGCGAGGGCCAGTTTGTGGCCACCGTCCAGCAGGCTGACTACAAAAGTCCACCCGAATTGCTCTCTGTACAGTGACACCAATGGGGGCTGCCCTCCAGACCTTGGAACGACCCTGCAGGTGCCCGAGGGAGCAGGAGGAGAGGTAAGACCACTTCTAGCCCTGAGGCACCATCTTGCCCTTGTTCTCAGGGTGTTTGAGATCTGCAGACTCAGCTGCTGGGAAAAACTAGTCCCCTTGGCTGTTTCCTGAGTGCCCCTGCCCTAGGTGGCCACTGTCCCCAGCAGGTCCCTGCGCCCTCTACCAAGTTCGCATCCATGGCTGAGACAACTTGCAACCTGAGTCCTGGTGAATTCGGGAGAAATTAGTTGATCTCTGTGTCATTTATTAACTATACAACTGGATTTTCACCCCAGGAGCTAAAGGAGGCTTGCCTTGGTGGGGACTGGATTTCAGATTCCCCGGGAACACACCCCAAAACTCTGCATGTGTGGCAGACCTCCCAGCAGGCGGGGATGCCTGTTTTATGGCTGCCAGGCGGAGCCCCCCCTAGTGGCGACTGTGAGATGGGCGGGGGACAGATGGCCTGCGATCACTCATTCGCTCAACACACCTTTATGAAGCCTCAGTCTGGCCCAGGCATTGTTCTAGGGAATCAGGGAACATGACGGTGTCCTCTGGGAGGTGGAGGGGTGAGGGGGAGGCAGGCAGGACTTGTCAGGGAAGGCTCATTGAAGAAAGTGCCATTTGAGCCAAGACTGAAGAGGGAGCCAGGAACCAGTTGAGAGAGAAGGAGGGAGGTCAGGAAGGGAGGGAGAGAGGGACAGGTGCGGCTGGGCCTGGAAAGGGTTTAAGGGACCTTGTTTTTCTTAAAATTAGTTGGGAAGCCTTCCCTGCCAGATATTAAACAGAGGACTCGCTTGACCTGACTTACATTTCAAAAAGATTTTTTTTTAACATTTAGGAAATCTACATGTTTAAAAATAATAGTTTTATATACTTAATGTTAAATATAATAATATAATGGAATCAGATAATATGTGGCCTTTTGGGAGAGGGGATGTCTGGCTTCTTCCACTGAATATCAGTTTTCAGGCTCCTCCGGCTGTAGGACTTGCCTCCCTTTCTAGGGCCATATCAGTCCAGTGTAAGGATGGGGCACATTTTGCTCTCCTGTTCAACTAACGGCCTTTAGAGTTTCTGTGTCTTGGCCACCGCTGTGAGCAGTCAGGTACAGGTCTGTGTGGAGATGTACGTTTCCTTTCTCGACCTGGGAGTGGGACTTCTGGGTGAAACGGTAACTGTTTGGGGGCCCCCCACACTCCCTACTGCACCCCCAGCCATGTCTGAGTGTCCCAGAGCTCCACATCCTGCCAACACTTAGGTCCCCTTGTTTTTGTTACAGGCCACAGTCAGTGTGGACGGGTCCCTGGGTGGCTTTGATTTACATTTCCCTGGGCTTAGTGACCATTTGCATTTGTTTTAAGAGAGAGAGGTATCTATCCATATTCTTTGCCCATTTAACAGTTGAGCTATTTAACTTTTAGTTGTTGAATTATAGGAGCTCTTTATATATTCTGGATCTAGTATATCACTTGGCAAATATTTTCTCTCTGTGGTTGTCTTGTGACTTTGATGCACAGATGTTTTTATTTTTGATGAAGTTTAACTTACCTATCTTTTTCCTTTGGTTATTTTTGCTTTACCGATCATATTTCTTCACCCCCCTCACAACTTCGTGGTAGTGTGGCGTGAACACTATTCATTTAACTAGTTGCCTGTTGATGGACACTTGGGCTTTTTCCTGTCTTTAGGTGTTATATAAGCTTTGTACATAGGTTTTTGAGTGTGAAGGTAGATCAATAGGACACTCGAGGTGAAGCGGGGTTGCTGTGACAAATGTCAAACACCTTTGTCATTTTGGCAGATATTGACAAGCAGATCAATAGGTAGAGAGACACCACCACTGGAATCACTTGCTAGCTGACATTCCCACCCGCTGTGTTGGAGCGACTGTTGCTACCATCTTGCCGACAGAGGGCAGCTGTGAAAGTAACTAAGGAAACCAAGAATTCAGTCCCTTGGTTGCAGGAAGCACGTGCAGGAGCTGGAGAGTGACCTTGGCAGTGGATGGGGCGGTGCAGACAGAATTGTTACGCCGCACTGACAGCCCGGTGGCTGTCTGCTCAGAATTGCACAGTGACCTTGACGTTACCTTTGAAAAGGATCCCTGTGGCTGTGGAGGATGGACTCATGGGCTCTGTGGGGAGGCAGGCCACGGGGCAGCAGGTGGCTACCTTAGCCCAGGTAGGGGAGTCGGTGGTCAGCTTCAGCACCCTGAAGGGAGAAGTGGTTGGTTGGTCCCCGCTGCATTTTGAAGGTGGAGTGGCTGGGATTTACTGGTGGGTGGAGTGTGGGGGGAGGGAAGGAGAAGCCCAGGGTCCAGGCAGAGACTCAGGTTTCTGGCCTGAGCCACTGGAAGGAGGGAGCCATGAACTGAGATGGGGGAGGGGGATGTGCAGGGTGGGGAGGGCTCTGTTTTGGGTGTACTATGTGTGAGACTCCTGAGGGACATCCCAGGGAAAGCTGTGGAGCGGCTTCCGAGTCCTTCTCTGGCAGAGAGCGTGGTGTCTGCCGCGTGGCGTGGTCACCAAGTTACAGCAAGGCCAGCAGGGAGGGAGGAGGTGGGATACCTGCGGCCAAGCAGGGGCTTGGGCTGTGGAGCCTAGAGGGGCGCTGGTAGCCGAGGTAAAGGATGAAGGCGGGACGGAGGAGGCTGTGGTGATGCCCACCTGCGGCCCCTCCACCCACCCGACAGCGTGTGTGCCCCTGTCTGTGCCATGGAGGGGAGGGCCAGAGGCACCCGTGGGGAGTGGCGCGTCAGTCCTGGCATCTAGAAGGTTTTTAAGATCCCTCCTCATGCATATTATGTATGTCCCAAGCAGCAAACATTGCCAGCAAACGTGAACATCCACTTTTGCTCATTCATTCATCTGGAAAATATTCACTGTCCTGACACGTGACAGGACATTTTGTAGGCCTGAAAATGGAGCAGGAGCAGAAGGTGACAAAGGCCCTGCCTTGCGGAGCTGCCGTTCGGCATGTGGGGGTGTGTCCCGCTGCAGGAGAGAAACTGTGGCTGTCGCAGGCCATGGCCACTCTGGGGGAAACACGGAGCAGGGCAAGGGGCACTGGAAGTTGGGCGGGAGGGCAGCCAGGTAACGGCAGGTAAGAAGGGAGCCAGGTGAGCTGCAGGACAGAGCATCTGGCCAGGGCAAAGGCCCTGTCTCGGGAAGCAGCCTTGCTGACCTTTGCTGTTTTGAATATGTGGGAGGTTGAGAAAAAGTGGGTTCAGGGTCCAGCAGGGAGTTTAAAAGACGCAGGGGCCCGGGGGCCGCATCGAGTTCCAGCTGCAGGAACAGTGAAGTTGCCCAAAGATGAGTGAGGCGTCACCAGGGAGAGAAGGCAAGGGGGCGTGCTGGACAGCCAGTGTGGCAGGAGCAAAGGCCAGGACGCATGAGCGAAGCCGGCAGGGGACAGGCGCCGTCCCAAGTCCAGGGCAACTAGAGGGTAATGAAAGATCAGGAAGGGCGGGGCCTGGCTCCGGCAGTGCTGGCTGTTGCCCACATCATTCCTGTGCGTGGCCGTGTGCCTCCGTTGCCTCGTTTGTGAGACGGGGACGTGAAAGGACATCGGTCTGGACGAGTGCGCAGCGACTTAGACACGGCACGTTTCTTGCGTGAGCTGTAGGCACCAGGGGTGGCGTGGGCACCACAGTCACCAGGGCTTTGCAGATGGCAGCTCTACCACCCCGGACAGGTGTCTTCCACCGTGGGGCCCCAGAGGTGGCCCAAACTCCAGCCACCTGTCCCGTTCCAGCTGGCAGGAGGGAACCATGTGGGCACCACCCCGCTTCTCCCACTCTTGGTTACCCGCACTTGGCT